AAAGTGCAGATATGAAAAAAAAGAAGGTATTATGATGTCAAACAGTACTTAAAAGTGAACCAGAGTTTCTACTTTTGGGAGAGATCAGTAGCAAAAACAGTCAAGATCAATTTCATCAGAATTCTGGAAATTAAAGTCTTACAACAATTCAAAGAGAATTTACTCAAGAAATGTAGCTGAATGTTGGTAAAATGCCTTGTGGCAATGACTTGCCCTAATCTCATTCCCCTCTGCCCAGCTCACAGTAGCCTTGAAGATCAACAGGCCACAATGACAGTAACTGTGAGAACCAGTGCCCTAGGAGTCACCAGAGAGGGCAGAACAGACTTGGAACTGCTTGAAAGCCCTATTCCCCCCACACTGTCACTTTCTGATCTGTATGACAGCTCACACTACATTCTCAGGCCTGTCTTCATCTGACCAGACTCAATAGCGATGAGCACATCTAGCATCTAGATCTTGGATTGCAAAGGAATCTGGGCTCCTTAGAGAAATGGCCAATTTGAGGGCTGAGTGAGAAGATACAAAATAAGCCTGGAGCACCTCTTCCAAGTTCAGTCAGGCTGTCGGCAGAATTCAGTAACTTGTGGTTGTAAGACAGACTGAAGTTTCCATTTCTTCCATGTCATTTGAGGGTTGCTCTCAGCTCTAGACACATGGCCCTCTCACAACATGGCAGTCTACTTCTTCAAGGCTAGTAGGAGAACCTCTCTGATGCTTCTAGTCTTTGACTTCAGGAAGGGTCTGGTTTCCTCTAGGTGTTCATCTGATTAGTTGAGGCCCACCTAGGATCATCTGCCTTTTGAATAACTGAAAACCAACTGATTTGAGACTTTAAATATATTAAAGGTAAAACCCCTTCTTCTTCGACATACAATGTAAGTTAACCATGGGAGTGAAATCCATCACACTCACAGTAATGCCCACACTCAAAGGGAGAAGTTTATACAGGTTGTGTACACCAGGGGCAAGGAATCTTGGGAGCCTTCTTAGAATTCTGCCTACCACAAAGGGGGCGGGGGAGGAGGGAACCACTCTTTTTCATAAAAAAACCTTTTTATGTTTTCATAATTCATCCAAAATAAATTTCATAAATTTTATTTCACAGTAAACTTTTGACTATATACATATTTCAGCTAAAAATTACATTCAATCAAATTAAATATATCACTAACTTAAGATCCACTGTTTTTTATGTACCAATAAGAAAAAAATAACCTGCCAACTGAAATGTGATATTCTAACAACTGTAAAACACATTCCAATTTCAGAGATGTTCACTATGAAAATAAATGTGTATCTCAAAATTAATGACATATAGTAACTAAAAATGTGCCTATTTTTTTCTTACTTTATTTTTAAATAATGTGAACAGTGTTGCAAATTTCACAATCAACACCACTTTGAGGGGAGTTGGGCATCTTATCCCTCCCTCCCCACATATACATTTTCTCCTTTCTTCCTAACCCTTCTAAACGTTATCTATTCCTTCCCAGTTTCTGCTCCATGTCATGAAAACAGCCCTCCCTGCTGTCACGTCTCCTCCTTTCTTAGACCTGTTTCTTACCGTGTGCTGTCTGCAGGGGCTGAGACAGTGAATGCAGTCAGTGAAGAGGGTGGAGGAGAGAACCATGGCCTTTGGATAGATGAATGCAGCTTTGATTCTTGGCTCACATTTATTAACTTGCCTTTGGATGCAGGTAGCAGAGAAATCAAATCAAATCAAATCAAACTAAAATCAAAATGGCTTAAATCTGAAGACAATATATTATTTCATGTGGTATAACATGAAATCTGAAGGTTGGATATCTGCTCTCTAAGGCTGGTGAATTCCATGGCTCAGTTTTTATCAAGGACCCAACTTCTTCCCAACTTTCTTCTCTGTCATCTTCAGCTGGTTAGCTAGCTCCCCTTGAGGTCATAAGACAGCTGTGTCAGTTCTGGGTGTCATATTTAGATATGACAATGTCTAACCTCTTCCTTGTGTATCTCAAGACATGTTAACTCTTCCACTACACCACAGGACATATATTCATATTTTAAGCCTAAAGCAACTACTGGCAAGAAGAATGGCACTTCCAATAGTTGTTGAGATTAATGTTTTTTCAACCTTGGCTTTGCTTTAGAATCACCTGGGAGCTACTGAAAATCTCATGTCCACACCCCAGGCTTCCCACCCCACCCCAGACAAAAATCAGAATTTCTGGGAGTCAGCCCCAGGCATGAGTATTTTTTTTTTAAGTTTCCCAAGTGATTCCAATGTAAAGCCAAAGTTGAGAACCAGAACTTCAGACCCTTGTTGATACAACCCTAAGGGTTGGGGGCAGGGCCCATTATCCACAAAGCACAGATGATGTCATGGAGGATGGAGGGACACCTAAGCAAAACTGAAATTTTGTTAGGAAGAGGAGCAACCATATGTGATGGTGTACAACTAAGAATATAAACTATGGAGACTCAGGGAAGGTAATGCCTTCTTACAGACATGGTTTACTCATCTGTAAACAGTAATAACAACTACTCTTACTATAATAATCCCCATTATAGGATTGTAATAGGTAATAAAAAAGGTTTCATATATATGATCCTAGCATTCAGCAGGTGCTTAACCTGAACCTGAGACATTCTGATCTCACTAAACTCCAAATTTCCCTTCTAACTGGCAGTATAAGCCCCATATTTTTTAGGCCAGATCACTAAACCACACAGTATTTCAATCTCAACAAACAACAGCTCAGAAGAAATCCTTGAATGTAACCCCAGAACGATTATGCTTATCAAAACTAGTCGGTGAACTGAGATGCTTGTGCTGGAAGTCAGGAAACCTATTAAGACAGGGGACAAGTCATTTAACATCTGTACATCTGAATTCCTTAAGTTCTACAATCGGATCAAGTCAAAACACCAAAAGACTGCATACTTGACTTACATTATCTTACCAACTGACAAAAATTGAGTTTTACTGTCACGTGGCTTTTAGTAACTGACCAAAAAAAGTTATATGAAATCTGTCACACAGAATCTTAGAAATGAGAATTCTGTCCATTCTCCTCAGTGATTTCCATAATGAAGACCTACATAAGAATTGTTTTTATGAAACTATTATTAGCATAGGTTAGGTTTTTGTATCCTATCTTCTTTCTGATAATGAGAGGTAAGTAGACAACCACTTCATCCCTTTTGATTTGGCTCCAAAAAAGATCAAAGATAAATTTAATATAGCCATGATAACCACGCTGGGCAAATGATGTGTAAATCCATGTACAGCTCTTCCCATTACAACTTTCTTATTTATATTTCCTCTGGTCCAGATTTCTCTGACTGACTATGGTTTTATTATACGTGTACTTTCTTGGAGCTGCAGCAAGGATCAGTGGGATTTACTTCACAGGAGGAAACCAAAGGGAGCAGAGAGGAGCAGAGGGCAGTGGTGGAACTAAAGCTTGATGTGACTGAGACGGCCAGACTACAGAGCGCTTAAAGCCAGGCGGACAAGTGGATCTTGATTCAGGGCACTACACAGCGGAGGCATGGCTGAAGCAGCACACGGGGAAATCCGCTCTAACTAGGAAAAGAGTGAACTGTAGAGAAGAAAGAAGAAAATGGAGGCAGGACCAGTTGGAAGGTGCTGTAATAACCCAGATATAAGAGACCCACAGCCTAACGGCTGCTTTAGGTGCACAGGGCACAGCCGAGAGAATGTCTCTCCCTGCAGCTGATTTAACACAAGTTAAGAGATTTCATGACACAGATATGTCCACCACTGTAAAATAAGAGCTTTTTTAACTTCTCTGACTTCTCAGTCCCGCAAACCTCTGTGGTCTGTTAAGTTTATAGGTGAGATGAGTACTGCCTCTTGGAACATAAGAATTATTTTCTTCTTACACATAAACTTTATATATAAACGTTTATACCTCATAAGTACTAAACTGTACATGAGGTAATATCATAAAGAAATAAATTATTTTCAAGGCTCATGAAAATAGAAAAAATATAAGGTAAATGCTCCTATTTATTCTTTTCTATGCAATGGATCCCATAATCCACCTCATAAAGTTATGAGGCTTAAATAAGAAAGTTAAACAGTATTAAATAAAACAGTACAGTACCTGCACATGGTAAGTGTGCATTCATGTTAGCTTACTGTACACGGTGGCCAATGTGACGCTACATACAGGTCTGCCATAAAATTTACCTTCTACAACTGTCAGCTATGACAGTATCTCGAATTCCTTTAAATTGTATGTGATTAAAAGTATTGATTCTACAGGTAATATATCCACTCCCTTGCACAATTTCATTAAATTATTGAAGGTTTTTGTAACGGACCCTTTTAACGTATCAATTCAGCCTCTCTCCTCTGTAACTTCCTCTGGTAGCTTCTAGCGCCTTGTCTTGCCCTCCCTCCCCAGCCACAGCCAGGGAGTGAACCAATCAAGCTGGCAGACAGCAATGGGGCACTAAGAGATGACTCACTCTCAGCTCACAGACTCCTGACGCTAAGGGCCCAGCACCTAGCCTGGTTTCATCCTTTCCTAGGTCTTGTCTGATAAACCTCTGCTTGGAGTACACACAATTCCCTCTCTCGCTTTAGGGGGATTAGGTTACCACCAAAATAACTTTGACTCATATTTTCAAATAGCACTTTGCAAAGAAGGATCACTAACTTTAGTGTACTCTGTGTATATAGCAAGTTAGTGATGCTATTACTTTTCCCAGCAATAAAACAATAATGATGATAGTTTCAGTTTCACAGTATTTTTCTAGTAATAATCAGTATCACTATATAAAAGTGCATATTTAGAATCTTATTATTTGTACTTGGAAAATTTTGTATTTGAATATTATGTTAAAGACATAATCATACTCCTAAAATTTACATTTTACACAAGTGTATAATCTGTCTACAGTTTATAAATCAATGAGAAAGATAACCATTCTTATATCTTAACAACAAAAAAGTTAAGAACCTCAAGTTTAGGAATGGTATAGTAAGAGACATTGTTCCACTTTATTTATAACGGTAAATGTCCGATGACAGGAAATTGGTTAAAAAAAATCACTGAACGATAATTTAAGCCATAAAACAGAATTGTGAGCAACTATTAAAAATATGTTGTGAATGTATTTAATGACATGAAAAGATCTAACTGTATATTCATCGTCTATCTATTATTCCAACATTCCTAGAGAAACCTAACAGTTTTCTCTCTTCAAATCCCCTACACTTCTGCATCCATCCTCACTCAGCCTAATCTTGCTTCCTATTTTACTGAGAAACTCACTCAATCAGAAGTGACTTCTGCAATTTACTACCAAAACATTTACCCACCAGCCAGCATCTCTGCCATATATGCTCCTCTCCTGGTTCCACCGGCTGGCATATCTCGGTGAAGACCAACCCCTTCACTTATATACCAGATTCTGTCCCTGCGCACACTCATTAAAGCAGTTGCACATCATCACAATGACACAGGTGGGCACTTTAAATGAGAACTCTTATAAACCACTCCAAATCCACAGTCTTGAACAGTCTTGAACAGGCACAGACATAAGCACTCTTCCTCCATGCAAAGCTATAGAAGAAAACAGAGAGCAAAACACATCAGCTGGTGAAAATGACCAACTTTGCCCCCCCTCCACTTCCTCTCCCCCAAAAAACATGCAGCAGAAGAAAACTGTAACACAAAAAACCCAAACTGAATTAAATATCCCTGTTTAGGAACATGAAAAAACAACCTGAATTGAAATCCAAAAACTAAGACCAAAACTGAACAAAGAAATGGAAGTTATGAAACAAGAGTCGACTGACCATAGAAACGATACAAGAAAAAAAAACTATATCAAAATGAAGAATATATTACAAGACAGAACAGATTTGAATGGAAACTTAATAAAGGTATATTGGACAAAAGTGGAAAAAGAACAAAAGGAATAAAAATGAGATGAAGAAAGTTAAATTTATTAAAGAGCAAAAAAGAAAATGCATCATAGAGGGAAAACACACAAATGTAACATAATATACAAACGATAATATAAAATGACAGAAACTAAACCACATGTTCAGTCATTTCAATAAATGTGAATGGGCTTAATTCACTTATCAAAAGAAGAAAAGGATTTTTGGTTTGGCTCACAGAGCAAAACCCAACTGTATGCTTCACACAAGAAACAAACCTAAAACTTCCTCAGAAAAGCCAAAAATAAAATGACGGGCAAATGAATATTAAAAGCAAATGCAAGCAAATTTCCAGGTGCAATGTAGAATCTGAAAGCACATCAAGGATCTTTTCGTACTGTTACATTAAAATCCTTCGTCTATGTTATAGGTTGGATGGATGTTTTATCCATGCATAATTTTGTAACATCATGCATTGTTTATTTGGAAAATATCAGCTTACTAATTTATGTACATCTTTCACATGTTTCATTACACAGTATTTAAAAAATCACATTCTTTAGTATCACCATCCCATCTCACCAAAAAGTCTTTAAGTATAGGAAAGCTTTCAAGCTCAAAGAGGCAGATCAAATGTTCCAAAATACTAATTTTTGCTCAAAAGCCAGAATTTTATCATTGATAAAAAATATTTTCAGTTGTTTTCCTTGAAGTGATAGGGTCACTCCATTCATTTACGAGAAAGTGCCTGCCAAACATCCACATCTGAAAAAACCAGTTTACCCCTCAGTTGTTGAAGTAAAAGAGTATTCATAAAAAAACGCAGTTAATTCAGCTTGCAACTGAGATAATAGCACAAGGGCTTTTCCTAGAGAATACCACTTCAGTATGTAGAAATACTTTCTACATCTTCTCATTTTGCTATCCATAATATTGAAAAGACATCTACTCAAGAATTGAGGTTTAACAACATTAATAATTTTTACTGCTTCATTAATGACATTCTTAAATGAAACTGGCACCAGATGCAAATGTTTTCAGAGGGAAATTCTATTCAATTTTTAGAAACCAGACAATCCCATTGGAATATAAACTCTTCTAGAGGAAATGCCTCTACTGTTTCCCCATTAAGTATGATGCTGACTTTCTTACTAAGGTATAACATATTTTATCATTTTAAGAAAACATTCATCCAACGATCTTATATGTAGAAAGCCTTAAAGATTCCCAGCCCCCCCACCAAAAAACTATTAGAACTAATAAACGAATTCAGCAAAGTAGTAGGGTACAAAGTCAAAACACAAAAATCAGCTGCATTTCTATATACTAATAATTATCTGAAAATGATATTAAGAAAACAATTCCACTTACTATACCTCAAAAAGAATAAAATTCTTAAGAATTAACTTAACCAATAAGGTGAAAGACTTGTACAATGAAAACTACAAAACACTGCTACAAGAAATTAAAGACGACATAAATAAATGGAAAGACGCCCTGTGTTCATGAATTGGAAGACTTAATTAAGCTGTCAGTACCACCCAAAGCCATCTACAGCTGCTTTGCAATTCCTATCAAAATCACAATGACATTTTTGCATAAATAGAAAAATCCATCCTAAAATTCATATGGAATCTCAAGGGACCCCAAATAGCCAAAATAACCTTGAAAAAGAACAAAGCTGGGGCTCATGCTTCTTGATTTCAAAACTTACTATACAAAGCTAAAGTAATCAAAACAGTGTGGTACTGGCACAAAGACAGCCATATAGACCAACGGAACAGAAAACAGAGCCCAGAAATAAACCCTCAGATATATGGTCAAATAATTTTTGAAAAGGGTGCCAAAATCATTCAATGGGTAAACTACATCTTTTTAACAAATGGTGCTGGGAAAACCGGATGTCCACATGCAAAAGAATGAAGTTGCACCCTTACCTAACATCACATATCAAAATTAACTTAAAATGAATAAAAGACCCAAACGTAAGAGCTAAAACTATAAAATTCTTAGAAGAAAACATAGGATAAAAGCTTCACAACATTGGATTTGGCAATGATTTCTTGACTATGACAGCAAAGGCACAGGCAGTAAAAGAAAAAATAGACAAATTGGACTTGATGAAAATTTAAAAATCTTGTGCATCAAGACACTATCAACAGAGTGAAAAGGCAACCTACAGAATGAGAGAGAGTATTTGCAAATCATATATATCATAAGTGATTAATATCCAGAATATAGAGAGAACTCCTAAAACTCAACAATAAAAAAAAACCAAATAACCTAATTCAAAAACGGGCAAAGGGCTTGAATAGTACTTTGTATTTCTCCAAAGAAGATGTACAATGGCCAATAAGCACATGAAAAGATGTCAACATCACTAACCATGAGGGAAATGCAAGTCAAAACTCAATGAGATACCACCTCACACCCATTAGGATGGCTACTATCAAAAAACCAAAAAATAACAAGTGTTGGTGAGAATGTGGAGAAACTGGAAACCCTGTGCACTACTGATGGGAATGTATAATAGTACAGCTGCTGTAGAAAACCATATGGTGGTTCCTCAAAAAAATTAAAAATAGAATTACCATATGATCCAGCAATCCACTTCTGGGAATATACTCAGAATTGAAAGCAGGGTTTCGGGCCGGCCCTGTGGCTTGGTGGTTAAGTGCGCGCGCTGCAATGCTGGTGGCCCGGGTTCGGATCCCGGGTGCACATCGAGGCACCACTTCTCCGTCCATCCTGAGGCCGAGTCCCACATACAGCAACTAGAAGGATGTGCAGCTATGACATACAACTATCTACTGGGGCTTTGGGGGGAAAAAATTAAATAAATAAAATCTTAAAAAAAAAAAAAGAAAGCAGGGTTTCGAAAAGATATTTGTACATCCATGTTCATAGCAGCATTGTTCACAACAGTTAAAACATGAAAGCAACCCAAGTAACCAATGACAGATGAACGGAGAAGCAAAATGTGGTAGAGAAATACAATGGACTATTATTCAGCCTTAAAAAGGGTGGAAATTCCGACATATGCTACAACATGGATGAACCTTGAGAACATTATGTTAAGTGAAATACACCAGTCACAAAATGAAAAATACTGTATGATTCCACTTACATGAGGTACCTAGAGTCGTCAAAATCTTAGAGACAGAATGTAGAATGGTAATTGCCAAGAGCTTGGGCGTGGGGCGGAATGGGTATTGTTTAATGGGTATAGAGTTTCAGTTTTGAAGATGAAGAGTTCTGTAGATGGATAGTGGTAATGGGTGCACAATATGAATGTACTTAATACCACTGAATCGTACTTAAAAATGGCTAAGATGGTAAATATTATCTGTATTTTACCACAGTAAGAAAAAAAAATGAAAAAAAGTATCCATCCATTCCTAGTTTCTTTAGTGTTTATTTTTTTATGTATTTATTTTATTTGTGAGGAAGATCGCCCCTGAGCTAACATCTGCCAATCCTCCTCTTTTTTTGCTGAGGAAGATTTGCCCTGGGCTAACATCCATGCCCATCTTCCTCTACTTTATATGGGACGCCGCCACAGCATGGCTTGACAAGCAGTGCGTCGGTGCACGCCTGGGATCCAAACTGGCGAACCCCAGGCCGCCGCAGTGGAGCGCATGCACTTAACCTCTTGTGCCACCGGGCCAGCCCCCAGTGTTTATTTTTAAATAAGGAATAGTATTGAATTTTGTAGGAAGCCTCTTCAGCATCTACAGAAATAACCATGAAATGAAGGACTACTGTTTTGCTGTTTTTCCATGATAATCCTTGTAAAACCACATGACCTTTAAAACTATCTGCATATACTACCTTCATAAAAAATATTTAATGAAAGAAATAAACTTCTGGATATAACTAAAATGGTACACTGAGAGAAATTTATAGGTTTAGATTTATGTATTAGAAAAGAAAAAAGCTAACAATCAATCTTTGGGCACAATAAGCCCAAAGAATACAAAAGGAATGATATAATAAAGAACACAAATTAATGAAGTGGAAAATTAACATAAAACAGAACTAACAAAAGCAAAGTTCATTCTTTATAAAGTATCAGAGAATGGTCAGACCTCCAGACAAACTGACCAAGAAGAAGAGAAGGCACGAATAATCAACACGAGGAATGAAAAGGCAGATGTAACTTCAGATGCTACAGACGTGAAGAAGAGAAGAGAATATCGTGAACATTATGCCCAAACATTTGAAATTTTTAATTTAAATTATAAAATTTAGTAATCTCAGGAATGCAAAGGTGGCTTAACATTTTTAAGTCCATAGATATAACTTGTCACATTAGCAGAATAGTCAGAAAAACTCGATGATTATCTACAAAGAATTCCAAAAAGTCCAGCATCTACCTCTATTCACAATTATAAAACAAATAGCCCAATACCTTTTATCAAACTACAATTCGAAGAGAATTTCCTTAACCTGATAAAGAGTATCTACCAGAAATTACAGCACACGTTGTAGTCAGTGGGGAAATTAATAGCAGTCCCTTTAAAATCTAGGATAAAGTGCACTATTACTACTTTTATTTAAAACTGCACTGCCACTTGAGCATAACCGCGCACTATTTGTAATAGTCAAATGTCCATCAACAGATGAGTAGATAAACAAACTGAAGTATATCCATACAAAGGAATACAATCCAGCAAT